AGGACAAGGCAGATAGAGTTGAAAGGTTGCAAACCTTATTGATTCAGGTGTTTGGGTCCAACTGGGAGATGCAAGGAATTGCAAATATTTGTCATGAGATACTCTGCACTGAGCTGGTTGTCACAGCCTCCCTGGTGTCTGCTCTGAGGAACAAAAGGGAAGGTGTGTGCAGTGTTGTTGCAAACCGCAGGCCACACATCCCACTGGGAGCACCTGGCGGGAGGTGGTGGCTCTCACATCCTCACAGGAGAGCTCTTTGTCTCAGTCTCATTGATATCAAGTAGAAAGCTTTGTTGTTGCTACAAAGGGAAGAAGAAATAAATTTCAAACGAATGCTAAGTAAGGAGCCGCTGTTGGAGGGAGTTCAAAGCAGTGCTCTCTGCTGCGGTATTAGAGCAATTACTCCCCGCTGCTGCTTTCCTCTGCCCTGCACCCCACCCCGTGGTGTCTGCTGGCTCTGACAGGCGTGTTTTCTGGTCTCTGACAGACACAATGAGGCCTACACCTGGACCAACCCTACCTGCTGTGTGCACAACGTGATTATCGGGAAGCTCTGGATAGAGCAGTACGGGACGGTGGAAATCCTAAACCACAGGTACCACACGCTGGGCGGGGGCCGACACAGCGCTGTCCTGGAGCACTGGCTGTGATCGCGGGACTCGCTTTCACTCTGCTCTGTGTGCTGCCCCTCGCCGTCCACCCTTGGTGTCCAGACAGGGAGGGCCCGTGTTGGTGGGAACTGGTTCTGGTCAGTGTGAGGCACCATTCACGCTCTGTGTTGAAAATTTTCTTTCTAATCACAAGTTAACTTATTTTGAAATTTTAAACAATGCCGTGACCATCCTCTGTCCTGTCCACACTGCGGCCTGTCATTCCTTCTTCCTGGACATCTATGACACCAGTTCTGTTTCCCACAACCTCATTGAGATGCAATTCACATGTCATAAAGTCCACCCAGTAAAAGTGGGCACCTAAGTGATAGAGTGATATGTATTAAGTGTACTGAACTGTGCAGCTGTCACCCCCGGGCATGGTTGGAGCCTTCCCATCACCCTGGAAAGGTCCCTGTGTCCTTGGCCATCACTCCCTGATGGCACCCCAGCCCCAGGCAGCCTCTGTCTGCTCTCTCTCCCTCCCTTCTCTCTCTCTCTCTCTCTCTCTCTCTCTCTCTCTCTCTCTCTCTTGCTTCCTCTTCCTTTCCCACTCCCGCTCTTGCTCTTACTTTCTCGCCTCCTCTCCTGCTCTCTCATCTTTCTGGACGGCTCATGTCCCACAACCGAGGCCTGTGCTTCTCCCACAGGACTGGAGATAAGTGTGTGCTTCACTTCAGACCGTGCGGGTTGTTTGGAAAAGAGCTTCACAAAGTGGAAGGACACATTCAAGACAAAAAGTAGGTCCACGTGTGGGTCGGCTCAGATAGCATGTGTGCACTTCAAAGAAGGTCGTTAAACCAGTGATGTCTGTTCATGGCAGAAAAAAATCAGGCTCTTTTATACCTGTTTTTTTTTTTAATATATATTTCTTTATTGATTTCAGAGAGGAAGGGAGAGGGAGAGAGATCTAGAAACATCAATGAGAGAGAATCATTGATGGGCTGCCTCCTGCATGCCCCCCACTGGGGGTGGAGCCTGCAACCCGGGCATGCGCCCTTGGCCGGAATCGAACCTGGGACCCTTCAGTCCGCAGGCCGAGGCTCTATCCACTGAGCCAGACCGGCTAAGGCATATACCTGTTTTTTACTGAGAAAAAACATTTCATGATTGAGCATGACAGGAGATAAAGCAGCTTTGGTGTTATTTCTAGGGTGGGGAGTGGGTGGGCCCATGTCACCCTCTCTCAAGGGTAAAAGATGAAATGGACACGAGGAAGTAGGAGGTTTCCTCTGAGATGCTGCTTGCACATGTTGCAGGCAGGGCTCGGCTGGAAATCTGACCACGTGTTCTCCTCCCGCACCATACGTGCAGGTGGTCGGTGAAGCTCGCACGTGGCTGTAGGAGCTTCATCTGCATGAGATTGGTTCTTTTCAGTCCGTAAACTAGGGAAGTTTAAAGGTTTTGTGAGCAGAGAAATGGTTAGTATCATTTTAACAAATTTTTTGAGTTTTTCCCCCCTTTGGTTTAGTAATCTTGTTTTGGGTCTCAATTTTCTCATTTTCCCCCTTAAGTAATTTGGGCCATGTGATGGCCAAGGCTCTTTCCAGCTCCCAGAATCTGTACATTTTCAATAGAAACAAGCTCCTATGGGAAGCAGGTCTTCTGCTCAGCCCCACTCAGCCTGGGAAACACCGTTCCACTATGACTCCGCCCACTCCACCCTCAGGACAGCAGCCTCTCCCGTGGAGGCCCAGGAACGGCCATGGGTGTGGGTGGCAGCACCCACTGTGAGCGTGTGTGAACTTTGGTCTGCTTTTCTGTTTCCCACCCCAAATTCAAGTGAGCGATTTCCTGACGCTGGGCCTGTTAGTGACAGTGCACATCCACCGAGCTGTGTTTCCTGAGAGGAGTGGGCCCTCTAGGCTGGGCCTCTGAGACACGGGTGCCCCAGGGTCCCGCCCTGGCAGAGCAGTATCTCCAGGAGCTCAGGGCCCACTGTGCTCTCCCCCAGAAGATGCAGAAGGAACAGCCCAACACTGGCATTGCTCCTTCGGGAGCCAGCAGGTGGCCCATCTGGGAAGGTCCCCAGAGGTTGTTACTACCTGAGGAAGCAGGTGGCAGAGGGGCACAGAATCTGCCTGTCAGTGAAGTTCTGATGTGTGGCCTTGAGGATAAAGCAAACTCAACAGGAAGAGGCCTGTTCCCGTGGTTTATAGAGAAAGGGCTCGAAGTCAGCGTGCTCACGGGGAGATCGGCACATGGGGTTTTACATCTGAACACGGACTCTTCCACCTCCTTGTCTCCACCCTCGTCCCTTCCCTCTTTCTTTCGCTTCGGTGTATTCGGTAATTAGGACCATCAGTGTCAAATGGCAGGAGCAGAGATCCTAAAATGCAAATTTTCGTCTTTGCGTTTCTGTGCAGAGGTAGCCCAAGACTGGTAAGAAGACAGCCAGACGGGACTTTACTCCACGGTTGAAGTGGGGTGCTGCATTGGGGTGGGTGGTCTGTCTTAGCTTGGTTTCTAAACCCCTTTGTTCCAGCAAAAAGAAGCTGTTCATCATCTACGGCAAGTGGACGGAGTGTTTGTGGGGCATCGACCCTGCGGCGTATGAGTCCTTCAGGAAGCAGGAGCGGAGGGGCGAGCCCCCGAGGAAGGCACAGTCGGTAAGGCGCTGCCTGGCACCTGCCCCGCTCCTGCCCGGCTCCTGCCCCGCTCCTGGCACTGCTGGGCAGAGGCCCTGGGAACCAGCCATGACCCCCAGAAGGGCCCTGTGGGAAGACGATGCACAGAATCCGCCTGTCAGTGAAGCTGCTGTCTGTGGGCCTCGGTTGGGAGGGTTTATCTGCACTCTGACAGCGCGGAGGGCGCGGGTCCTGTGTCGCAGCGTCTGTCTGTCCCCCAAGTCAAGCAGGGTAGAACCAGGCACCTCCATTTCCTTCTGGAAATGCTGTGTTCTGGATGCCTCGTAACAAACCTCCTGTCTGCCTGCCCCTGTTAGCTTAGACCTGTTCAAGCGAGTGAGTGTCCTTTCTGCCGTTTCAGTTCTGAGTCCAGATGACGCCCACAGTGAGGGCTGTGCCGGGCAGGGAGGCTTCTCCCCGGAGTTCTGCATCCCGCTGCCCTAAGGCCTCAGAGCTGGGCCTGGAAGTGCGCTTACAGAGGGTCCGTGTTCTAGATGACACGCCCCCCTCAGGCAGTGCTGTGCCTTCCCGGCTGCTCCGTGTCTTCCTGTGGTAGTTCCCATGTGCTGTCAGTGTGGCTCCCAATGACTTGTGTCACTCAGAGAAATGAAATTCCACTTAGAGACTGTGCAGACTGGCGTGTTAGACCATGGCTGATGCCTTCGGTGTGTGCGCTGAGCTTCGCTGTCCTGGGTGACCTGGAGGGACAGTCTTGTCCCGTTTAGCTCTGGACCTCACCGTGTAGCCTGCAGTCAGGTGGCAGGCCCTTAAGCTGTGTGGTCACACTGACGCTTGTCACACCAGCACACTGTCCCCCAACAGCTGCATGAATAACCACTGCTCCATCTCCAGGCCCCCTTGGGTTTGAAAGGTAACCGCAGGTGGCATATCTCATATAGGGCTTGGTCTCCAGTGGGTTTGGTCTAGAAGTGCTGGGATATCATGCGATCACCCATCTGGACACGTCCTTATGGAGGGAAGTGCCCCTCTCAGAAATGAGCTGTTCCAGTCCCCTTAGCTTAGATGAATGTGCTTTTGATGGTGCCACCTGGCTAGTTGCCGTCAGAGTCAGGAGCTCATCCTTTCATGGTGCCTGCACTCCCAGGAGGACAGCTGTGCCTGCCACTGACTTGGTACCCTGTGTTTGGGGGACCCCTGCGCAGGAGCCTGTGCAGGGGGAGGTGAGCACAGCAGACACAGGAGCCCAGCCTTTAGGTCTCGGGGCAGCGGCGCCTCCTTCCTTAGTAGCGCATCTTGCTCTGCTTGGGCTCAGAACAGGGGCTGAAAGGCACTCCAAGAGCCACTCCCTCCGGCAGCCGACCAGCGTGCTCTGTGTTTCAGGGCATCAGCATGGAGAACGCTGACACTGAAGTGGTGGATGCCGTGCCTGAGGTCCAGGACACTGTGCAGGTCATTCCAGGCAGCAGGCTCCTCTGGAGGATCAACACCCGGCCCCCCAACTCTGCCCAGGTCAGTGCTCCCCCATACCTGCCCCTCCAACCCCATGTGTACACCTGCTACCTCAGTCCTCTGTCCCAGAGCAGACAGAGGACCCTCCGTCCCCTGGTCAGATGGAGCTCTCAGTGTGAGCCTCCGAGGACTTCCTGTCCCACAGAGCCACCACCAGCCCCAACCTCAGCCTACCCTCCCAGCGACACAGCAATGCTGTATGTCTACATGAGTCGTGGTGGCATGTTGACACAGAACTGACACGTGTGTCTGCACACATCACAGTGTCACAGTGGCCCTGGATATTCCTGGGTAGAGGTGCCTCGGGACACACAGTGTGCCCTGGAAGGTTTATACAACCACATTTTACCCAAAGGGGTTTCCAGAGTGGCTTGCAGGTGTTGTTTTCTCAGCCTGTCAATTTAAATGCTTCAGTGCATTTTGATATTTATTTTTATTTTTATTTATTTTTAAATATATTTATTGATTTCAGAGAGGAAGGGAGAAGGAGAGAGAGATGGAAACATCAATGATGATAGAGAACCATTGATCGGCTGCCTCTTGCACGCCCCCTACTGGGGATCGAGCTCGCAACCCAGGCATGTGCCCTTGGCCGGAATTGAACCTGGGACCCTTCAGTCCGCAGGCTGACGCTCTATCCACTGAGCCAAGTCGGCTAGGACTGATATTTATTTTTGAAAATTAAACTTACAATTTGTATTACATATAAATGTTACATACAATAACATATATAAAATAATTACATGATAAATATAACGTAATAAATTTTATTTTTCACATTATGAATTATTTATATATAGAATAAATATACAATGTATTATAATTTTTTATTGTATTACCATGTCCAATAACATAGCAGAGCATGTAAAAAATAAACCACTCATCCCAGAGATGTTGGGGAGTCAGACCTATAAGTTGGGCATCAAGTGGGGTGGCCCAGAGAAGCCCGAGGCTGGTGCGTCTCAGGCCCGGGAAGGAGCCATGCCCCTGCGTGACCTTGACGGGGGCGTCTCCAGGGAGCGTGTCTGTGCGGGGCCCAGGAGAGAACGCTGTGGCAGTCACAGATTTCTGTCTGTCCTCAGATGTATAACTTCACCAGTTTCACTGTTAGTCTCAATGAACTGCAGACGGGCATGGAGAAGATCCTGGCCCCCACAGACTGCCGCCTGCGTCCTGACATCCGCAGCATGGAGAACGGCAACATGGGTGCGTGCCTGAGCAATGGGGGCAGTTGGGTGGCCGCCCGGGGATGAGCAGAAGGAATGCGGTGGCCTTTCACGAGCGAACAGGCGCTAGGTCCCCCAGCACAGAGCGCACGGACTGCCCGGGTGACGGTTTCAGAGTTTGCAGCCTGTAGGAGACCAATCCTTTTGTAAATAACAGTAAGGTTAAGTTACTAGAAAATGCGATGAAGAGGAATACACACAGAAGTCAAGTCCCAATACTCTATTCTTAGGTAGAATGTAGGGCTGCCTTTCAGAACCCGCGTGCTGTTCATTAAAGCCCCACGGCTGGCGTGTGGGGCCCTGCTGCAGGTGGGATGAGACAGCCCTGGGTCCGGCACCTGGCGGCACTCGCTGGGTGACCGCTGTGCAGGGCGGCAGGAGGGGTCAGTGTGACGAGCGGCTGCCTCCTGCTCACCACCCATCACTCTGGGCCAGGTCAGCAGCAGGACTCCCAGTGCCCATGCAGGGTGCGCCTGCTGCAGTTCGTGGGGTCAGCAAATTGCTCAGGGATGAGTGTGGATGGCAGGGCGGTCGGCGGGGCCTGTGGTCAGGGTCCTCAGTCCTTGGAAACAGCACAGCCGCTGTCCCTGAAGGTTAAGGTTGAATGTAACTGTCTGTGCGAGGGAAATGGCTCCAGGGTGGGACCCATGCTGGGGCTCTGTTGACACCGCCCTGTGGGTGCATTGGCCCCAGGAGCTGAGCACCTGCCTGTGGCTGGTACTGCACTAGGACCCTATTGTCCCTCGCCGCCCGAGGCCAGGGCCTTTGGGTTTGGTTTCCTGATGACAGTTAACTCTCCATGGTTTTTGAACAAGGGAGACCAGGAGGGTCACCGCCCACCTGACTCCTCACCCAGCCATGTGTGCTTGGGCCTAGATCTGGCGAGCCAGGAGAAGGAGCGGCTGGAGGAGAAGCAGAGGGAAGCCCGGAAGGAGCGGGCCAAGGAGGATACTGAGTGGCAGACAAGGTGAGGCCCCGCGTGGATGAGGGGACAGTGAGGAGGGCCCCACACACCTGGGGACAGTGAGGAGGACTACACACCTGGGGACAGTGAGGAGGACTACACACCTGGGGACAGTGAGGAGGGCCCCACACACCTGGGGACAGTGAGGAGGGCCCCACACACCTGGGGACAGTGAGGAGGGCCCCACACACCTGGGGACAGTGAGGAGGGCCCCACACACCTGGGGACAGTGAGGAGGGCCCCACACACCTGGGGACAGTGAGGAGGGCCCCACACACCTGGGGACAGTGAGGAGGGCCCCACACACCTGGGGACAGTGAGGAGGGCCCCACACACCTGGGGACAGTGAGGAGGGCCCCACACACCTGGGGACAGTGAGGAGGGCCCCACACACCTGGGGACAGTGAGGAGGGCCCCACACACCTGGGGACAGTGAGGAGGGCCCCACACACCTGGGGACAGTGAGGAGGGCCCCACACACCTGGGGACAGTGAGGAGGGCCCCACACACCTGGGGACAGTGAGGAGGGCCCCACACACCTGGGGACAGTGAGGAGGGCCCCACACACCTGGGGACAGTGAGGAGGGCCCCACACACCTGGGGACAGTGAGGAGGGCCCCACACACCTGGGGACAGTGAGGAGGGCCCCACACACCTGGGGACAGTGAGGAGGGCCCCACACACCTGGGGACAGTGAGGAGGGCCCCACACACCTGGGGACAGTGAGGAGGGCCCCACACACCTGGGGACAGTGAGGAGGGCCCCACACACCTGGGGACAGTGAGGAGGGCCCCACACACCTGGGGACAGTGAGGAGGGCCCCACACACCTGGGGACAGTGAGGAGGGCCCCACACACCTGGGGACAGTGAGGAGGGCCCCACACACCTGGGGACAGTGAGGAGGGCCCCACACACCTGGGGACAGTGAGGAGGGCCCCACACACCTGGGGACAGTGAGGAGGGCCCCACACACCTGGGGACAGTGAGGAGGGCCCCACACACCTGGGGACAGTGAGGAGGGCCCCACACACCTGGGGACAGTGAGGAGGGCCCCACACACCTGGGGACAGTGAGGAGGGCCCCACACACCTGGGGACAGTGAGGAGGGCCCCACACACCTGGGGACAGTGAGGAGGGCCCCACACACCTGGGGACAGTGAGGAGGGCCCCACACACCTGGGGACAGTGAGGAGGGCCCCACACACCTGGGGACAGTGAGGAGGGCCCCACACACCTGGGGACAGTGAGGAGGGCCCCACACACCTGGGGACAGTGAGGAGGGCCCCACACACCTGGGGACAGTGAGGAGGGCCCCACACACCTGGGGACAGTGAGGAGGGCCCCACACACCTGGGGACAGTGAGGAGGGCCCCACACACCTGGGGACAGTGAGGAGGGCCCCACACACCTGGGGACAGTGAGGAGGGCCCCACACACCTGGGGACAGTGAGGAGGGCCCCACACACCTGGGGACAGTGAGGAGGGCCCCACACACCTGGGGACAGTGAGGAGGGCCCCACACACCTGGGGACAGTGAGGAGGGCCCCACACACCTGGGGACAGTGAGGAGGGCCCCACACACCTGGGGACAGTGAGGAGGGCCCCACACACCTGGGGACAGTGAGGAGGGCCCCACACACCTGGGGACAGTGAGGAGGGCCCCACACACCTGGGGACAGTGAGGAGGGCCCCACACACCTGGGGACAGTGAGGAGGGCCCCACACACCTGGGGACAGTGAGGAGGGCCCCACACACCTGGGGACAGTGAGGAGGGCCCCACACACCTGGGGACAGTGAGGAGGGCCCCACACACCTGGGGACAGTGAGGAGGGCCCCACACACCTGGGGACAGTGAGGAGGGCCCCACACACCTGGGGACAGTGAGGAGGGCCCCACACACCTGGGGACAGTGAGGAGGGCCCCACACACCTGGGGACAGTGAGGAGGGCCCCACACACCTGGGGACAGTGAGGAGGGCCCCACACACCTGGGGACAGTGAGGAGGGCCCCACACACCTGGGGACAGTGAGGAGGGCCCCACACACCTGGGGACAGTGAGGAGGGCCCCACACACCTGGGGACAGTGAGGAGGGCCCCACACACCTGGGGACAGTGAGGAGGGCCCCACACACCTGGGGACAGTGAGGAGGGCCCCACACACCTGGGGACAGTGAGGAGGGCCCCACACACCTGGGGACAGTGAGGAGGGCCCCACACACCTGGGGACAGTGAGGAGGGCCCCACACACCTGGGGACAGTGAGGAGGGCCCCACACACCTGGGGACAGTGAGGAGGGCCCCACACACCTGGGGACAGTGAGGAGGGCCCCACACACCTGGGGACAGTGAGGAGGGCCCCACACACCTGGGGACAGTGAGGAGGGCCCCACACACCTGGGGACAGTGAGGAGGGCCCCACACACCTGGGGACAGTGAGGAGGGCCCCACACACCTGGGGACAGTGAGGAGGGCCCCACACACCTGGGGACAGTGAGGAGGGCCCCACACACCTGGGGACAGTGAGGAGGGCCCCACACACCTGGGGACAGTGAGGAGGGCCCCACACACCTGGGGACAGTGAGGAGGGCCCCACACACCTGGGGACAGTGAGGAGGGCCCCACACACCTGGGGACAGTGAGGAGGGCCCCACACACCTGGGGACAGTGAGGAGGGCCCCACACACCTGGGGACAGTGAGGAGGGCCCCACACACCTGGGGACAGTGAGGAGGGCCCCACACACCTGGGGACAGTGAGGAGGGCCCCACACACCTGGGGACAGTGAGGAGGGCCCCACACACCTGGGGACAGTGAGGAGGGCCCCACACACCTGGGGACAGTGAGGAGGGCCCCACACACCTGGGGACAGTGAGGAGGGCCCCACACACCTGGGGACAGTGAGGAGGGCCCCACACACCTGGGGACAGTGAGGAGGGCCCCACACACCTGGGGACAGTGAGGAGGGCCCCACACACCTGGGGACAGTGAGGAGGGCCCCACACACCTGGGGACAGTGAGGAGGGCCCCACACACCTGGGGACAGTGAGGAGGGCCCCACACACCTGGGGACAGTGAGGAGGGCCCCACACACCTGGGGACAGTGAGGAGGGCCCCACACACCTGGGGACAGTGAGGAGGGCCCCACACACCTGGGGACAGTGAGGAGGGCCCCACACACCTGGGGACAGTGAGGAGGGCCCCACACACCTGGGGACAGTGAGGAGGGCCCCACACACCTGGGGACAGTGAGGAGGGCCCCACACACCTGGGGACAGTGAGGAGGGCCCCACACACCTGGGGACAGTGAGGAGGGCCCCACACACCTGGGGACAGTGAGGAGGGCCCCACACACCTGGGGACAGTGAGGAGGGCCCCACACACCTGGGGACAGTGAGGAGGGCCCCACACACCTGGGGACAGTGAGGAGGGCCCCACACACCTGGGGACAGTGAGGAGGGCCCCACACACCTGGGGACAGTGAGGAGGGCCCCACACACCTGGGGACAGTGAGGAGGGCCCCACACACCTGGGGACAGTGAGGAGGGCCCCACACACCTGGGGACAGTGAGGAGGGCCCCACACACCTGGGGACAGTGAGGAGGGCCCCACACACCTGGGGACAGTGAGGAGGGCCCCACACACCTGGGGACAGTGAGGAGGGCCCCACACACCTGGGGACAGTGAGGAGGGCCCCACACACCTGGGGACAGTGAGGAGGGCCCCACACACCTGGGGACAGTGAGGAGGGCCCCACACACCTGGGGACAGTGAGGAGGGCCCCACACACCTGGGGACAGTGAGGAGGGCCCCACACACCTGGGGACAGTGAGGAGGGCCCCACACACCTGGGGACAGTGAGGAGGGCCCCACACACCTGGGGACAGTGAGGAGGGCCCCACACACCTGGGGACAGTGAGGAGGGCCCCACACACCTGGGGACAGTGAGGAGGGCCCCACACACCTGGGGACAGTGAGGAGGGCCCCACACACCTGGGGACAGTGAGGAGGGCCCCACACACCTGGGGACAGTGAGGAGGGCCCCACACACCTGGGGACAGTGAGGAGGGCCCCACACACCTGGGGACAGTGAGGAGGGCCCCACACACCTGGGGACAGTGAGGAGGGCCCCACACACCTGGGGACAGTGAGGAGGGCCCCACACACCTGGGGACAGTGAGGAGGGCCCCACACACCTGGGGACAGTGAGGAGGGCCCCACACACCTGGGGACAGTGAGGAGGGCCCCACACACCTGGGGACAGTGAGGAGGGCCCCACACACCTGGGGACAGTGAGGAGGGCCCCACACACCTGGGGACAGTGAGGAGGGCCCCACACACCTGGGGACAGTGAGGAGGGCCCCACACACCTGGGGACAGTGAGGAGGGCCCCACACACCTGGGGACAGTGAGGAGGGCCCCACACACCTGGGGACAGTGAGGAGGGCCCCACACACCTGGGGACAGTGAGGAGGGCCCCACACACCTGGGGACAGTGAGGAGGGCCCCACACACCTGGGGACAGTGAGGAGGGCCCCACACACCTGGGGACAGTGAGGAGGGCCCCACACACCTGGGGACAGTGAGGAGGGCCCCACACACCTGGGGACAGTGAGGAGGGCCCCACACACCTGGGGACAGTGAGGAGGGCCCCACACACCTGGGGACAGTGAGGAGGGCCCCACACACCTGGGGACAGTGAGGAGGGCCCCACACACCTGGGGACAGTGAGGAGGGCCCCACACACCTGGGGACAGTGAGGAGGGCCCCACACACCTGGGGACAGTGAGGAGGGCCCCACACACCTGGGGACAGTGAGGAGGGCCCCACACACCTGGGGACAGTGAGGAGGGCCCCACACACCTGGGGACAGTGAGGAGGGCCCCACACACCTGGGGACAGTGAGGAGGGCCCCACACACCTGGGGACAGTGAGGAGGGCCCCACACACCTGGGGACAGTGAGGAGGGCCCCACACACCTGGGGACAGTGAGGAGGGCCCCACACACCTGGGGACAGTGAGGAGGGCCCCACACACCTGGGGACAGTGAGGAGGGCCCCACACACCTGGGGACAGTGAGGAGGGCCCCACACACCTGGGGACAGTGAGGAGGGCCCCACACACCTGGGGACAGTGAGGAGGGCCCCACACACCTGGGGACAGTGAGGAGGGCCCCACACACCTGGGGACAGTGAGGAGGGCCCCACACACCTGGGGACAGTGAGGAGGGCCCCACACACCTGGGGACAGTGAGGAGGGCCCCACACACCTGGGGACAGTGAGGAGGGCCCCACACACCTGGGGACAGTGAGGAGGGCCCCACACACCTGGGGACAGTGAGGAGGGCCCCACACACCTGGGGACAGTGAGGAGGGCCCCACACACCTGGGGACAGTGAGGAGGGCCACGCACACCTGGGGACAGTGAGGAGGGCCACGCACACCTGGGGACAGTGAGGAGGGCCACGCACACCTGGGGACAGTGAGGAGGGCCACGCACACCTGGGGACAGTGAGGAGGGCCACGCACACCTGGGGACAGTGAGGAGGGCCACGCACACCTGGGGACAGTGAGGAGGGCCACGCACACCTGGGGACAGTGAGGAGGGCCACGCACACCTGGGGACAGTGAGGAGGGCCACGCACACCTGGGGACAGTGAGGAGGGCCACGCACACCTGGGGACAGTGAGGAGGGCCACGCACACCTGGGGACAGTGAGGAGGGCCACGCACACCTGGGGACAGTGAGGAGGGCCACGCACACCTGGGGACAGTGAGGAGGGCCACGCACACCTGGGGACAGTGAGGAGGGCCACGCACACCTGGGGACAGTGAGGAGGGCCACGCACACCTGGGGACAGTGAGGAGGGCCACGCACACCTGGGGACAGTGAGGAGGGCCACGCACACCTGGGGACAGTGAGGAGGGCCACGCACACCTGGGGACAGTGAGGAGGGCCACGCACACCTGGGGACAGTGAGGAGGGCCACGCACACCTGGGGACAGTGAGGAGGGCCACGCACACCTGGGGACAGTGAGGAGGGCCACGCACACCTGGGGACAGTGAGGAGGGCCACGCACACCTGGGGACAGTGAGGAGGGCCACGCACACCTGGGGACAGTGAGGAGGGCCACGCACACCTGGGGACAGTGAGGAGGGCCACGCACACCTGGGGACAGTGAGGAGGGCCACGCACACCTGGGGACAGTGAGGAGGGCCACGCACACCTGGGGACAGTGAGGAGGGCCACGCACACCTGGGGACAGTGAGGAGGGCCACGCACACCTGGGGACAGTGAGGAGGGCCACGCACACCTGGGGACAGTGAGGAGGGCCACGCACACCTGGGGACAGTGAGGAGGGCCACGCACACCTGGGGACAGTGAGGAGGGCCACGCACACCTGGGGACAGTGAGGAGGGCCACGCACACCTGGGGACAGTGAGGAGGACTACACACACCTGGGGACAGTGAGGAGGGCTACACACACCTGGGGCTGAGAAGCTGTCTCTGCTTCTGCTATGATGGTGGCAACAGCTCCTTGTGTAGGCTGTACCCACCAGGCTGATAGGCCGATGCTCCCAAAAGTAGTGCCGCCTGCTGGTGAGAGGCAGATCACCTGAGACCAGCCTCTCCATCCTGGCCCCTGGGTATTTGACCCTGAACTTTTTCAAGTTTGGTAAATTAGAAAAGAAAATGTAGCCAGAGCCAATCCACTAACTGAGGGAAAACGCAGTTCTCAGAGAAGAGGCACTGTGTGCCCGGAAGCCCCCAGGTGCTGCTGGGAGCAGCCTGCTGTCCCCACATGTTCCCCATCCATATGACACAGCACCCCAGAGGCCATGATGAGGAGCGGGCCGGCTGTCTTTCCCATGCCTGGGAGCACTCATCCCGTGACCATGGGTGTGCACCGTGTGAGTGTAATGCACATGCGTGTGTCTGCACAGGCCTTGACCCAGAGGGAGCCGTCTGGGAGGAGTATCTCAAATCAGTTGTCATTTGTTCTTTTATAGTCATAACTAGAGGCCCGATGCATGAAATTTGTGCAAGAGTAGGCCTTCCTTCCCCTGGCTGCCAGCACCGGCTTCCCTCTGGCACAGCACCCTGGCTTCCCTCCCAGCCGCAGGCAGCCCCAGCTTCGTCCGGGACATCCAGCCTAATTAGCATATTACGTTTTTATTATAGCTGTGACAACAGTCCACTTAATAAGGACTTGATTAAGTACTGTAATGTTTAAACAAAATGTAAAGGTACATGCAAGCTACAATTTTAGTCTTAGAAAACTCTGGTGGTTCAGAGTTGTTGACCAGGATATTTTTGCCTGTCTTTTGTGTTCAGGGCCCAGTGAAGTCACCTGGTGACTTTTATGTGGCTGTCGTTTTTAAAACTAACTTTCGAAGGTTGGGCTTCCAATTTAATTTATTATTATGCTCTTAATAGTTTGATATGTGGAATTTGCTGTTCCAGAAAACGATAGTTTGAAAATAGCCAATGTTCCTTTGTTATATTTTTTTAAATTGTGAAAATAACGACATTTTATCCTGAGAAGACAATTACTTCTACCTCTCAAGTCCTCCACACCCACTCCCTCTCCCACCGCGCAGAGGCCAAGGGTGGGTGACCAAGGTGCTGGGAGCCTGAGGGGAGCTGGTGACAGTGACTGGATTGGCTCATAGACAAGCTGGAGGCCACTGTGACCCTCTCTGTCCTCGATCGCGCCCCTCCCAGTTAACAGACCATGCAGACCTGGCCAGCTCGAAAGGATGGAAACAGCACTGTGACTGTTCTCACCTGGGGTTGAGTGCCCCTTCTCTGGTGACGGCCCAGCCTGTTTTCTGTTAACTCCATAAGGTTTTTATCAGGAAGTGAGGCTGACATTGGGGATGTGTGTAGGGTGAGTGTATGTGTGATAGTGTGATGACAGCCCAAGTTGAAGTGGCTGCCTTTAGAAATGCATGTTGCTGGGTGATGGCTAATTAGAGGGTTCTCTGTCCTTCCTGAGAAGGCTGGCGACAGTGACTGCCCAGCCGCTCCCTGACCCTCTTCTGTGTTGCAGGTGGTTCCGCCAGGGCAGGAATCCACACACTGGGACCCCCGACTGGCTGTACTCAGGGGGCTACTTCGAGCGGGATTTCTCAGGCTGCCCGGACATCTACTGATGTGCCCCGGGACCCAGACCCCTGCCAGGCTGGACCCCGCCACGTGGCTCCTCTGAGCTCCGGGTACGGCAGCATCAGCCTTTCTAAGGACCGTGTTCACGGAGAAAGCGCCATCCCGGCTGAGGACTCAATCCTAATTAACTTTTGATTGCCAACCATTCATTACTGTTGCCGTCTCTTCATAAAGCTTCCCTCGGGATCATCATGTTTTCATTAAGATTTGAGAAGGAACGTTCTTCAACTCCTTTATGTGACAGGTCAGCTGGGGCATCTCAACCGACAGCAGCCTGATGACCAATTTGAAACTAGCGGAAGGAACAGCAAGGAGGGGCCATGTTCCTCCTTAAAACGCAGCGTTACGAGTGTCCAAAAGTAGTTTAAATTGGAACCAATAACAGAAAAGACAGATCTTGAAACTAACCCTGCAGCGAGCTCTCTGCGGCCAGGAACGCTGTCTGCGCCGGGAACAAAGTGAGTGTTTCAGAGCGTCGGATTAAATGACATGGGTCGCTGTCGGGTTCTGTGTTTTCTTGCCAACTTTCAATGATGTAAAGATAACTTTTAAATATTTAAGTTAAAGCTGCTTGACTAGGATTTGCTGAAGAGCAAGACATGCATTAATCGCCAGCTGTATACGCAAAAGGAAGCATTGCCATGACAGGGGTCCAGAAACATGGCAAGTTGTTGACCAAGTCCCCAGACGGCTCCCAGCCTTGAAGGGAGCCCTGCCTCTGGCCCTGTCTGCTCTTTTCACCAGGGCTGCACTGTCACTGCAGGCCAAACCCATGTCACAAAACAAGTTATTCGTTAGAATGTTTGGTCTGTAACCACAGCACTGTGTCCTTGTTTTCCCAGCATGCGTGTTTGAAACACAGGATACAGGAGGCCACACCTGGTGTGCACTGGGGGGTCAGAGCAGAGGCTACTTACAGGTGAATTAGGGTTATTGTACAGAACACAGGTGTGCATCCATCTCTGCACACGTCCTGATCAGGTGACTGTTTTCTTTCTGTAGAAATATCAACACGTAGATCATGGTACCACTCTCTGAATGGAAGACAATCTGCTGCATGCGGGTGCACACACACAAACTCACACGTGTGCACACATGCATATGCGTACATGTGTGCTCTCACATGCATACCCACATGTGTGCACATGTACACACGCACACATGCACACGCAGTTGTATGGAGTGGTGGGTTCCCTCTGAGAGGGTGTCACTGTTGTGTGTCCAGGCTTCAGAATCACATTTGTAATTAAAACTTTTGAAAGCGAAGACTTGCTCTGAAGACTTGATTTTGTAGCTTTGCAACCGGAAGCCCCGTGTTGTAACAGTCCTGGGTGCAGCCGCGTGCCCTGACCCAGTGCCCGTTTTCCCGAGAGCCCCGGGAAGTCGGCTGTGCAGACAGCCCGACCTCGAGGAGCGTGTCTTGTGTAAAGTGTAGATAATGTGAAGGGACCCACCAGTGCCAGGGGGCTAATAGGGAGCCTAGTGTTGGGGCTGGATGGTCGCATCCGGGTTACTGGGCTGGTGCAGTTCTGTCCCAGGAGAGGTGCTGCCTTCCCAGGGCGGGTCAAGGTCAGGGTGTCACCAGGACCTCGGGCCTCTTACAGGGTGTGGCCTGCTCCTGAGACGGTCTTGGAGAAGCAGGGCTGGTCCCTCACAGGCATCACAGCACTTTGCCACTTGGGGCTGCTTGTCTTGGTGTCGCTTCTCTGGACATGTGCTCTCAGCAGGGAAGTGCCGTGCGAGACTGAGCCGGCACAGCCCTTCTCGTGGAATGGAAGAGGCCCCAGCAGGGCTCCATGGTTGTCCTGGCTCCGTCTCCCTCTCAGACTGTCCCCAAGGCTCATGCTGTTGTGCTTGAGGAAGGGTCAGCTGGCAGATGGGCCACATACCACCTGGCCCAACCCCGGCCGCTCTGGAGATGGGCCAAGGGCAGCCTGACGGGCTTGGAGCTGTCCAGGAGATATGCTGAGGATCAGAGGACAGCCGCCTGTGTGCTGGGTCCTTGTTGGGTCACGAGATCAGGACCTGGGACAGGATGAGAGAAATGCTGCGGGAGGTTCCCCACGAGCCTGCCACCTCCGGGCAGCCTGGTGAGACGCTTCCTCTCAGGACACCAGCTCTGGGAAAAGTGCTCCTAGTGGAGGTGGTGGCTCACAAACCTCACGGGTCTCACATGTGTGTGAGGAACAATGAGATAAAGACGTGGTTAAAAATGCTAATAAGATCCAAAATGCAGAAGCACTGGCAGCCTTAACCTGAGGGGTGGGGTGGCGAAGAGCTGTGTCCTGCGCGGGAACCTGGGCCCCGAGGAGAGTGGACTCAATAGTTCCTACTAGTTCTGGTTGCTCTGGCCCAACGCTGGGACTTAGAAGCATCTTTCCAGGGGCCTTGCTGTGTCCGTGGTGCAAAGGTTGGGTTCCTGGTGAGAGAGCGAGTAACCAGGCCTGGGCACGTCCCCTGGCGGCTTCCTGTGTGTGTAACCCCTCCCCTCACTGTCTCCTCCGTCTTCAAGCGAGGAGGGTCCTGCAAAGTGAAGACAGCATTTCAGTGTCTCTCGATGATCAGTCCCTCACTGGATACACGGCTCCTTCCCATTTGAGAACCAAACTGTCCTGGGTCGAAGGTTTAGGAAGGGGCTGCTTGGTCCCTGCAGGGTGACAACATACAGATACGGGTCCTTCATTCCTCTTGGTCTGGGCTGTTCTCCACTGCTCCCCTGGCGCTGCAGCACGCCAGCACACTGGTGATGGGCTCATTTTACAACCAACTGCTCATAGAGTTTTTGGAGGACTGGTACTGACCCGTAAAGATCCAAGTTAAACCCTAGCTGTGGATATAAAAGGTCCTTTGAAAATAGTTGTTGCTGACATTTTTGCACCAAGCAGTTTTCACCGTCTCAGCTCCTGTGGCCCCTTGGAAAGGGCTGCAGACGAACCCTTGTGCCGGGTGTCAGGTTGGGACTATGCATTCTGTAGGGTTGGCCCAGCGAGTGGACTGCTTCAGAAGACTGCTGGTCACTGGAGAAGGGCACCAGGGACGCTGTGGCATCCCTGGGAGGGCGCAAGTAGTGGGTGGGGGTCTGGGTCTTTGCGTGTCGGGAGCTCTGGTTGAGTCTCTCCTCTTCAGGCATTGGAGACTGTAAAGCAACTAAATGCCCAGAGTACTGTTACTTTGACTCGAAGGTCCCCACCGTCTGACCGCTGTCCTAGCTGCCCAGCATCTGTGTGCTTCCTGGGAGGTTGAGCTGAGTGGGGACACTCATGCCAACAGCCAAGATGGCTCTGGGCAGAGGGACAGACAGTCACAAGTGTGAGTGCTCTCAGAATGCTCAGGTTCACAGGTCTGGGCCGCTGCCACGAGCACCACATCTGATGATGGGGCCACAGAGCACCCAGCCCTGTGGAGCCCAAGCCTGGTGTCACGGTGCTAACTCCCCACAGTCCAACCCAGGCCACAGGGAAAGGAGGTACAGGAAGGTGGGCGTGCCCCACCTTTCACAGCAGGTAAGTGGAGGAAGTGGCTTCAAGCCCTACACACAATGAAACCGTGTGTGCAGTTGACAAAATCACACTGTCTTGTAACCACTACCGTGTCAACATATATAGTCAAGTGACAGGCGTCAAGACCATTCAAGGGGAAAGGTGCAGGGAGCACATGGTGCTGGGAAAACAGGACATCCCTTGCAAAAGAATGGACCCTTACCTCACACCATATACAGAATGAGCTCAAAATGGATGGAGGCCCTAAATATAAGAGCAAACCCTGTAAAACTCTCAGAAGAAGACTAGGGCACAAACTTTATGACACCAGACTGGCAATGACTTGGCTATGTCACCAAGGCCTGGATGATAAAAGAAAAAATGGACCAATTGGACTTCATGAAAATTTTAAAAATGTTGTACATCAGACACTATCACTAGAGTATAAAGGCAATCTACAAAATAGGGTGAAATATTTGCAAATCATACATCTAAATATATAGAGAACTCTTTAAAACTCAACAACAGCAATTCCCCCTCCCCCAACCTGATTCAAAAATGGGCAAAGGACTTGAATAGACAAATGGTCAATAAACCCATGAAAAGATGCTCAACATCACTAAACATCAGGGAAATGAACATCAAAGCTACAGTGAGATGCTACCTCACACCTATTAGGATGGCTCCTGCCAGAAAAACATAACAGATGTTGGTGAGGATGTGGCAAAACAGGTGCACTGTTGGCAGGAATGTAAAATGGGGCAGCCACTATGGAAAACAGTATGGTGGTCCCTCAAAAAATTAAAATGGAATTACCATATGGTTCAGCAATATCACTTCTAGATAGACACCTAAAAGAGTTGAAAGCAGGGCCTTGGACCCACTGTTTGGGAGAACATATTTGACAATGATGCATCTGATAAAGGGTTAATATCCAGAATATATAAGGAACTCATACAACATAACAAAAGGAAGACAATCCAATTAAAAAATGGGATCGGCCCGAACCAATATGCTCAATTAATATTTGACAAAGGAGGAAAGAACATTCAATGGAGCCAAGATAGTCTCTTCAATAAGTGGTGTTGGGAAAATTGGACAGATATATGCAAGAAAATGAAACTAGACCACCAACTTACACCATACACAAAAATAAACTCAAAATGGATAAAGGACTTAAATGTACGACAGGAAACCATAAAAATTCTAGAAGAATCCAAAGGCAACAAAATCTCAGACATATGCCGAAGCAATTTCTTCACTGATACAGCTCCTAGGGCACTTGAAACTAAAGAGAAAATGAACAAATGGGACTACATCAAAATAAAAAGCTTCTGCACAGCAAAAGAAACCATCAACAAAACAACAAGAAAACCCACTGCATGGGAAAACATATTTGCCAACGTCATATCTGATAAGGGCCTAATCTCCAAAATTTATAGGGAACTCATACAACTTAACAAAAAGAAGATAAACAATCCAATCAAAAAATGGGCAAAGGATCTAAATAGACACCTTTCAAAAGAGGACATTCAGAAAGCCAAGAGACATATGAAAACATGCTCAAAGTCACTAATCATCCGAGAGATGCAAATCAAAACAACAATGAGGTACCATCTCACACCTGTCAGAATGGCTATCATCAACAAATCAACAAACGACAAGTGCTGGAGAGGATGTGGAGAAAAAGGAACACTCGTGCACTGCTGGTGGGAATGCAGACTGGTGCAGCCACTATGGAAGACAGTATGGAGTTTCCTCAAAAAACAAAACATGGAACTCCCATTTGACCCTGTGATCCCACTTCTAGGAATATATCCCAAGAGGTACATCTACATGATGGAATACTATGCTGCTGTAAAAAAGAAGGAACTCTTACCATTTGCAATGGCATGGATGGAACTGGAGAGCATTATGCTAAGTGAAATAAGCCAGTCAATGAAGGAAAAATACCACATGATCTCACACATTCATGGATAATAGAGACCATTATAAACTTTTGAACAATAATAGATACAGAGGCAGAGCTGCCTCAAACAGATTGTCAAACTGCAGCGGGAAGGCTGGGGAGGGTTGGGGGGCAGGAGGGAAGGGGGTAAGAGATCAACCGAAGGACTTGTATGCATGCATATAAGCATAACCAATGGACATAAGACACTGGGGGGTAGGGGAGGCCAGGGGATTGTCAAGGGCGGGGGAAAAAAGGACACATATGTAATACCCTATGTAATACTTTAAGCAATAAAAAAACAAAAAAACAAAAAAAATGGGCAAAGGACCTACATAGACACTTCTCCAACGTGAATATATAGGTGGCTGAGAGACATATGAAAAAATGCTCAAAGTCACTGATCATTGGAGAGATGCAAATTAAAACAACAATGAGGTATCGCCTCACACCTGTCAGAATGGCTACCATCAACAAATCAACAAATGACATGAGCTAGAGAGGGTGTGGAGAAAAGGGAACCCTCTTACACTGCTGGTGGGAATGCAGACCGGTGCAGCCATTATGGAAAACAGTATGGAGTTTCCTCCAAAAATTAAATATGGAACTGCCATTTGACCCAGTGATCCCACTTCTGGGGATATATCCTAAGAAACTCGAAACACCAATCAGAAAGGATATATGCACCCCTATGTTCATAGCAGCACAATTTACAATAGTTAAGATCTGGAAACAGCCCAAGTGTCCATCAGTAGATGAGTGGATAAAAAAGCCATAGTACATTTATACCATGGAATACTATGCAGCTGTAAAAAATAAGAGTGTCTTACCCTTTGAGGCAGCATGGAGGGACCTGGAGAGTATCATGCTAAGTGAAATAAGTCAGTCAGAGAAAGACAAGTATCACATGATGTCACTCCTGTGGAATCTAAGTAACAAAATAAGCTGATGAACGGAGTGGATCCAGAGACATGGAAGCATGGAACAGAGTGTGGAATCTCAGAGGGAAGGCAGGGGAGGGATAGTGGAAGGGAGGTAATCCCCAAAGACCTTGTGTGCGAATATGCATGGCTCATGGACGCAAACAGTGGGGTGGTGAGGGTCTTGGGCCGGGGTGGGCTGGAGGGGGTCGATGGGGGGAAAAGGGGACATATGTAATACTTTCAACAATAAAGATGAAAAAGAAAAAAGAAAGCAGGGTCTCGGAGAGATATGCACAGCCGTGTCCCCAGCATTATTCACAGTAGCTGAAATGTGGATCCCATCAATGGATGGAAATGGATGAGCAAAGAGTTACTCAGCCGTACAAAGGAAACCCTGACACCTGCTACAGCGTGGATTGGCTGAGGACACTGCTCAGTGACATAAACCAGCCACTAGGCAGTGGTTCTCAACCTTCTGGCCCTTTAAATACAGTTCCTCATGTTGTGACCCAACCATAAAATTATTTTCGTTGCTACTTCGTAACTGTAATGTTGCTACTGTGATGAATCGTAATGTAAATATCTGATATGCAGGATGGTCTTAGGCGATGCCTGTGAAAGAGTCGTCCGACCGCCAAAGGGGTCGCGACCCACAGGTTGAGAACCGCTGCTCTAGATAAACACTGCATGTGGGTTTTGTGACTAGCCCGGGGGTAGTGGAACAGAAGTTGTGCTGCAGGAGTCCCGTGAATGGGCATCTTAAAAACAACAGTGAGCCCTGGCCGGTTTGGCTCAGTGGATGGAGCGTCGGCCTGGGGACTGAAGGGTCCTGGGTTCAGTTCTGGTCAAGGGCACATGCTCAGGTTGTGGGCTCAAACCCCAGTGGGGAGCGTGCAGGAGGCAGCCGATCCATGATTCTCTCTCATCATTGATGTTTCTATCTCTCTCTCCCTCTCCCTTCCTCTCTGAAATAATAAAATAAAAAAACCACAACAGTGACCGCGAACACCTTCACCTTTATGCTTTTCATAAAAAGGCTAAGAACACATTTGATGTTCACAAAGCAGCGGGAGGAGGCCCCGGGCAGGACGGCCTCTCCTCTGGGGCGGGAGCGGCTCCGGTGGGAGCACAGGGCTCCGGGCGGCACAGGTGCCCGTGTGAGGCCGTGCAGGCGGCCTCCGCTCCTGGGAGGGTCTGTCCGCCTCAAGCCCACTCTGACCTGCAAAGGAGCCTCCGATACTCCCGGCGCAGATGGGAAGGGGGGGCCGCATGTCAGCAGCCTTACAGGGTGGGGTCTAGAGGACCCTGGGAGAAAGGGGGAGACCACCTGTCAGCACTGTTATGGGTGGGGGTGGGGCACCGCAGGCGGGACCACGCGCCCCATGAGTTCCAGGTCCGACGGGCAATGCGGGCCACAAACCGAGTCCGGGGCTGCGGTTCAGTCATTCCCCGGAAGACCCGAAGCCAGCCCCGCGTCCGAAGATACCCGCTCCGCTGGGCCCGTGACGGCGTCCCCTACGTCTTGGCGCCCCGCCCCGACAGTGACCCTGAGAGACCCCGCCTCGCCAGGGGCGGTCCG